GTTCTGGTTGGCATATCATAGTGTCTGACACAGCACCATTTCTCACCTCCCAGACCAGCAAAAACTCAAACACTAAACAACTTACTCTGTAGCATGTCCTTGGGAAAACAGGTCCCTTATACATTGCTGGCAAATGTGCAAAATATTTCCCTTAAGGAGGAATATATCCTGAAATTATTTCCCTACACATTAAAAAACCAACATATACATAGGGTTAATCACTGCAGCACTATTTGAGATGTGCATCATCTGAGACTGTTTGAAGGAATTATGGTACATCTACACGATGGAGAACTATGTAATAATCAAAAAAGACAGAAGTAGGTCTATAACAACAGACATAGAACCTGTTCCATACTCTCTAATTTATATGTATGTGTGTAGTTTTACATTTATATAGTTATTAATTTTTTAAATTATGAAGATCCCCCCAAGAAAAGGAGGCATAACAACCTAATGAAAAAGAAAAAAAACTTGTATGTGATGAGTGAGAATGAGAGACCAAGACTTCTCTATGTGTATATGTATGTGTATGTAAATATGTAGAGAGTATATTTTTGAATCATGTACTTATTTTTAAAAGAAAATTACAAGAATGAGGACATCATTGAAATACTAACAGAAGAAAAATAAACCTAAATGTAAATCCGACTGGTATGAATTTTAACTGAAGACATTACACATGCATATGCAGAGAATATATAAAAATCTGTGTCTATCTATCCATCTATCTACTCTGAAAAAGCCTAGAACAAATAACATTAGGGTAGAAATGAGTACACCTACCCCCAGATCTTGAAATCTAAATACCATAATCCAGTAACAAAAAGCCCTTGGAGGAATGATTCATTACAGGTATTGGACATAAGTAAAATTATTTTGGAACATTTTATTGTATAGAAAACAAGGAAGTGCTCAAAGACTAATGTAATCATTCCCAAAGACTAGAGGGATTAGCTTGAAAGGGTTCCTACTAATCAAATTTTGACAATTTCAGCATCATAAAGAATAATGACAATAATGGAATATTGCATTAGAAAATGTTTAAATCTGAAATAGTAGGAGGAAGGGGGAGAGACAGAGAGAATGAACACACGTGACAGGAAAAGCAGTTCTTTTTACAGAAGAATACCACTTGATAAATATGGAAGAGATGTTAGAAAATCACTTTGAAATGATAATTTATTCAGAGAAAGGTCATGAATGGATGCCAAAACCAGTGAGTGAAAAGTTAATGGAGGAAAACTCTTCACATACTATGTAAAGATCATCCACTTTTAATTGAAGGCAAAATGCACTTTTTACAATGAAAATACCCTACCTCATAGCTACCACGTAAATAGCATTGTCATGAATGGGAAGACGTGTAATTGTGTGTTTCCTGATACAAAGCAGAAGATGTATCCAGCATCACCTATGTAATCTTCCCAAAATATTTAGCCTAAATTAAATCATAAGAAAGCAATCAAATAAGTGCAAAAGCCTGGATATCCTATAAGATCGCTGAGACAGGAGTCTTATAAATGGTCAATGCTGTAGAAATAAAAAAAGATGGACTGTTTTACTTTAAAAGAGACTAAAAATATGACAACCCACTGAATGGGTCCCATATTTAAATGGGTCCCATAAATTAAAACTATATATGAAATACATTAAAAATATGAAATACACATGAAATAGAACTTGTTTTAAGAGGACAAATTTGGAAACACTGAAATGTCAAACTTTATATATTCATTATGTATTAAGTATATACATTCAACTAACAAAAAAGGACAGGGTGAGTATTCAAAAAGTTGACGTTTGGTGAATCTAGGTGACAATTGTACGAGTATTGATGTACTGTTCATTCAGCCTTCCTGTAGGTTTGAATATTTTCTCAATAAAAAGAATACAAATGAAATATAACTTCATACTTATAAATTTGATGAAAAATTAAATATTTCTTGTTCCACAGGGAGTTCTGGTTGGCATATCATAGTGTCTGACACAGCACCATTTCTCACCTCCCAGACCAGCAAAAACTCAAACACTAAACAACTTACTCTGTAGCATGTCCTTGGGAAAACAGGTCCCTTATACATTGCTGGCAAATGTGCAAAATATTTCCCTTAAGGAGGAATATATCCTGAAATTATTTCCCTACACATTAAAAAACCAACATATACATAGGGTTAATCACTGCAGCACTATTTGAGATGTGCATCATCTGAGACTGTTTGAAGGAATTATGGTACATCTACACGATGGAGAACTATGTAATAATCAAAAAAGACAGAAGTAGGTCTATAACAACAGACATAGAACCTGTTCCATACTCTCTAATTTATATGTATGTGTGTAGTTTTACATTTATATAGTTATTAATTTTTTAAATTATGAAGATCCCCCCAAGAAAAGGAGGCATAACAACCTAATGAAAAAGAAAAAAAACTTGTATGTGATGAGTGAGAATGAGAGACCAAGACTTCTCTATGTGTATATGTATGTGTATGTAAATATGTAGAGAGTATATTTTTGAATCATGTACTTATTTTTAAAAGAAAATTACAAGAATGAGGACATCATTGAAATACTAACAGAAGAAAAATAAACCTAAATGTAAATCCGACTGGTATGAATTTTAACTGAAGACATTACACATGCATATGCAGAGAATATATAAAAATCTGTGTCTATCTATCCATCTATCTACTCTGAAAAAGCCTAGAACAAATAACATTAGGGTAGAAATGAGTACACCTACCCCCAGATCTTGAAATCTAAATACCATAATCCAGTAACAAAAAGCCCTTGGAGGAATGATTCATTACAGGTATTGGACATAAGTAAAATTATTTTGGAACATTTTATTGTATAGAAAACAAGGAAGTGCTCAAAGACTAATGTAATCATTCCCAAAGACTAGAGGGATTAGCTTGAAAGGGTTCCTACTAATCAAATTTTGACAATTTCAGCATCATAAAGAATAATGACAATAATGGAATATTGCATTAGAAAATGTTTAAATCTGAAATAGTAGGAGGAAGGGGGAGAGACAGAGAGAATGAACACACGTGACAGGAAAAGCAGTTCTTTTTACAGAAGAATACCACTTGATAAATATGGAAGAGATGTTAGAAAATCACTTTGAAATGATAATTTATTCAGAGAAAGGTCATGAATGGATGCCAAAACCAGTGAGTGAAAAGTTAATGGAGGAAAACTCTTCACATACTATGTAAAGATCATCCACTTTTAATTGAAGGCAAAATGCACTTTTTACAATGAAAATACCCTACCTCATAGCTACCACGTAAATAGCATTGTCATGAATGGGAAGACGTGTAATTGTGTGTTTCCTGATACAAAGCAGAAGATGTATCCAGCATCACCTATGTAATCTTCCCAAAATATTTAGCCTAAATTAAATCATAAGAAAGCAATCAAATAAGTGCAAAAGCCTGGATATCCTATAAGATCGCTGAGACAGGAGTCTTATAAATGGTCAATGCTGTAGAAATAAAAAAAGATGGACTGTTTTACTTTAAAAGAGACTAAAAATATGACAACCCACTGAATGGGTCCCATATTTAAATGGGTCCCATAAATTAAAACTATATATGAAATACATTAAAAATATGAAATACACATGAAATAGAACTTGTTTTAAGAGGACAAATTTGGAAACACTGAAATGTCAAACTTTATATATTCATTATGTATTAAGTATATACATTCAACTAACAAAAAAGGACAGGGTGAGTATTCAAAAAGTTGACGTTTGGTGAATCTAGGTGACAATTGTACGAGTATTGATGTACTGTTCATTCAGCCTTCCTGTAGGTTTGAATATTTTCTCAATAAAAAGAATACAAATGAAATATAACTTCATACTTATAAATTTGATGAAAAATTAAATATTTCATTGAAATTAACTACTGGTGAGGATGATGTGGAGCAATGAAACTCATATTTCTAGAAGACTATTCACTGTATAACTGAAAAATAATTTGTCACTGTCTAGTTAAGTAGAAGACATGTCTATCCCCTGCCCAAGCAATCCCACTTCTTGGTGTTTGTTTCAAGAAAACCTGCCAAGTGCATCAGGAGACATTTAAAAAAAAACTTTTCATAGGCAACTTGTTTTTAAGATAAAAAATATGGAAACACTCAAATGTCAAAAAAATATGTCAATTATGCTGTATCCATACAATAAAATACCATAAAGCAGTTTAAAATAAACCATGACTGTGTCAACATGGATTAATCTCAGAAAGTATGGAGTGAACATAGCAAATCTTGTAATAATGAAATATGCTGTAAAGATTAAAACTACAGTTGACCCTTGAACAACAAGGTTTTAGGTCCACAGATCTTTTTCAATAAATATATTGGAAAATTTCTGGAGATCTGAGACAATTTGAATTTGTTTTCTTTTCTCTAGCTTACTTTGCTGAAAGAATACAGTACATAACACATATAACAAGCAGAATATGTGCTAATCGAGTGTCTTAGTTGTCAGTCAACAATATGCTTTCAGTAATGTTTTGGGGAAGTCAAAAGTTATACACAAATTTCCAACTACGTGGGGTATTGCATTCCCAAAGCCCTGCATTGTTCAAGGGTCAACCAACACTTAGTATTTATTTGGTATAGTTTCTCCTGAAATGTTTTATTTAAAGTTGGCCAAACTGTAGAGCTGTCAATCATTTAGATGAGAGTTATCACAGGCCTATGTCTGTACCAAATGCCTGGATGACATCCTAACTCAAGGTGATGCAAGGCAGTCCACACCTGGAGCTCTTTTCGGAATGGTTTCCCTGTGGATAGGAAAAAAGGCAGTGTCCTTGCATCTATGTTTATGTGAATGTGTGTGCATTCTTGAGCTGGAAAAAGAGAAACTGAATGTTAGCTGAGAATTAAAAATTGAAAGTGACAAAAGCAGTTAGTACTTTGAGTTGGCCACAGAGATGCCGTTTAAATAAAAAGAAAAATCAATGTTTTCCATTTCTTTGCAGAGTAAAAGTGAGCAAATCACCGTGCGGCATCTGACATCAGGAAACTGGGAAGTAATAAAGCTCTTGGCATATGATGAAACTACTCAAACAATGTGAGCATTTGTGATTCTCTAGTAAGTTGGAAGTCAGGGTTGTCAATTGCAATCTGTTCTGCCATTTTTAAGTTTTGCTTACCATCTTCCTAGTCCAGCCTGGCCTTGTAAAGAACAACTTTTTATTTGAGACTCTCCCTGTGCTTCACCCAGAGAGACACTTACCCAAACACATGCACACACGCAAACATGCACAACCCAGAGAGATGGAGAGAAATCATGGAAAAACGTCATAGTGTTTTAAGAAAAAAAAAATTGTTTCCCAAATGGCTTGAAGTCCTGTGGCTGAATAACAGAACACCTTTTGCCTGTTCTTCGAGAGTTTGAAAATTCAAGTGAAACCCCAGGGTGCCAAAGATTAGTCTGTGCCTGATATTTGTTTGTTTTCTTTCCTATGCAGTTACTTTCTGAGCACTGAATCTTCTCCCAGAGGGAGACAGCTGTACAGGTAAACAATGTGCAAGGATTGCCTTACTTTCTCAAGGGGCCTTCTACACAATTAGTGATGGGATGCAAAAATCTGAAGTTTCATTCTTGACATGGCCTGGAGAGAGCCACCTAGGTGTGAGAGACCCTCACCCTTAGTCCAGTCCCTCAGCTCCGGACCCGGGAGAGACTCAAGGGTTGGGAGCAGAATGGAAACCATCTTGCTGCTGCTTTATTCTTTTCTCACCTGCTTTTATAGTCTCAAAATTACTCTTTTTGAGTTTTGCTTCTCTCAACTACCCACATCACTTATTTATATATTTTCCCAGTGACATTTTCTTCTGTTAAGCCTCATTTTGAATTTTTGCTGCATTAATATTGTACACTTGTAATTTATTCCTGAACAAAATAAAAGTTGTGAACACTTACTTAGCAGGTGTGAATTGCATGAACATTTATCTCTCCCCATCCCCCACCCTCCACAGTGTGTACAATCCATTCATATTGTTATTTAAGCCAAGAATGCTTTGGCTTTCTAAAATAAAGTAATAGATGGGGAATATTTTCATCTGCCCAATTTTTCCACATGGAAACATGTTCATAAAAGGGACTTAAGGCCGTATCTACTTAGTATTAAAATGTCTCTTCACTCGGAAAGTTTTCACCAGGACCTCAGAAGAATGACTTTTATTTTTGTCTGGCAAGCTACTTATTAATTCTAGACTCTATCTACATACACTTTCTAATTTCCATTTCACAGATTCATTTGTAACATGTCATAACTGCCATGACATATTCTCTGTGGAAATTCATCATGTTTGAAGAAGTGTTACCACTTATTCTTACCAAGTAGCCTAGACTTTCCAATGAGAATAAAAAGGCATATTTAAAATACCCAAACTCCCCCTAATTCACCCACACACTCTTATTTATGCATACATTGCTTTCATCTGAAGCAAGCCTCTCTTTTTTTACCATCTCTCTTCATATGTCATTTTCATATTCTCTGTTTTTTCTCTTGGAGTCTGTAACTCATGTTCTTAATTCTGGTGACTTCCAAAGGAAGAACAGGTGTTTATTTGAACAGATTGATTCTGAGTTTGGTTTAACCGTCTTGACTGAAGTACTGGTTACATTTTTATTTTTGATGACCAATTTATCTTTTTTGAAACTTATACTATGATTGATATCAGCAGTCATGAACAGTCCTTCAGGGACATGGAAATACTTGATCAGTATTTTATTTCTCTCATTTTATAAAACTCTTAGTGAAAAATGACACTGTCTGATTAGAAAATTGGCCAAGTTCAGCAAATGAAACTGCTCCAATCTCTCTTCCCTCTATTAGCCTAAAATGTGATTTGAATCACAATGACTTCCCAGATTTGTGTGCTTGTCTTTTTTCTCAAGTAACTGAAGCAGAACAGTCAATATATCTATGACCTGTACTCGTGTAGCAGGCAGTGTTATAAAGAAAATGTAGTGCCAATAAATTTTCCCTTAAATAGCTCATCAAATGCCAATTGACTTGACTGTAAGATAATGGTAGCATTTAACCCAGAAAACTCATCAATGTCTTGTCCAGGCCGTAAAATAATCACTGGTTGACTTAATTTATGGAATTAGATACCCCTGCAGAATCTGAAGTGCTACCATATTCGGATTTGCATTTCTTTATTTCAGTAATTTCACAATCTAAATAATAAGAAGATAACATAAATTTCTAGGAAACTTGTATATGAAAAGTTATGGGAAGGAGTAGAGGAAGAAAAAGTTTTAAATTCTAGATATGTCACTAAATAGCTGTGTGCAACTGGCATGTATTCTTAATCTTCCTGTAGTGATGGTTGCACAACATGTGTGAGTACCATTAATGACACTGAAGTTTGTACTTAAAAAAAATATTGTTAAAATGGCAAATGTTATGAAATATATGTTTATCACAACTTTAAAAGAAAGAAAATGTGTGTGTAAGTTGTTATAAGGATGAAACTGGCTAATGTGTTTAACTGACTATTTTATATTCATTGCTTTGACTATTAAAGTTTGGATTATCATGAGCTCAAAACATTTCCAAAGTGAAATTGTGATTTTATGAATTACACTTGACATTTATCCTCAATTGCTTCTGATGCTTCCTATGCCCCCATCGACACCTCTGTTCCCACCCATGCCTGCAGCTTATTGCACATCAAAATCAGTATGACTATGATTCGTTTAAAGATATATAGCCAAAATTATGTTTCAGTCCAAAGTGAAATTGGGAATACTTTGTCCAGTCAAGTTTTTTCAAATGTTTTATCAATAGTGCCTTCATCTATGAACATACATAATTTATAATTAATCTCTCTTTATAAAATAAATGATTCTATGTATATATAAAACTTTGAGTGACTATCTCAGCTTCTCTGATCTTAAGCACCATTATTTATAAAATAAAGAGATGGTTGCTTTTCTCTTTACTTATTTCCCTGATGTCTCAAAGTATGTACCATCATCATTATATATAATCATGCATACATAACTTTTCTTTACCAGAAATTTCAGTGAAAGCATTTAGTTGGAAAAAATGGGCACTGACACCAAATTCTAATATTTAGAATATTGAGTTTAGGAAATCATGAGCTTGATTTTTTCTCTGACTTGTGAAAACATCTTTTAGTTCTTTCAACTAATATTTATTGATGATGACTTTATGTTAGTCTCTGTGGGTAATTCCTTTCAAGAGTTTACAAGGAAATATATATAAAGAAAGTGCAGATAAGAGCAAATTATATTGAGTCCTCTCGAAGTCAGTTTCTTTATAAGCATACGGTTATGCATATATATTATATACATACAGGTATAATAAGGTAATTTTATTACAAAGAATAAAATTGTGTGTCTTAACATTAGTAATTGAAATTGACTTTGCATCTGTATTGTAACTCATAATTTTCAAGAATATCAGTGTGAGTAATTCTGTAACAGCTCCTCTGTTTTTGTTAGTATTTAACTGTAAATACAACAGCTTTAAGTACCTGGAATGATAGCATTTATGAACTTTTTCTTTCTCTCCCCAGTGCTTCAACTGAAGGATTATTGAATCGTCAATGTATTTCATGTAATTTTATGAAAGAACGATGTACATATTTTGGTGCCAGTTTTAGTCCCATGAATCAACATTTCTTATTACTCTGTAAAGGTAATAGATTATTACTGATAAACAATTTCTTGTTCATTTTATTTGACAATATCTCTTACAATCATTACCAACTATGACTATCTAGTTATACAACCTGATATTCTTCATTTGTAAGTTTTTGTTAAAAAGTTACAAATTATGGCTTTACTGGGACACAAATTGTCTTTATATACTTTATTTACGATAGGAATTATGAGTAAATCAACATGTACACATGATCACTAAGGGCTATTTGATCATGGACTTTTTAAAACAGTAAATAAACATATTTACATCAACAAGGTCATGCTACAGTAGTAAAATGATTTATCTAGTCTTCAGGAAAAACAGTAGTCTTATTAAAATAATGGCTTGGTTGTTAAGAGATTTGGTATCTAGTGAAACTTAATTCCCTGGTTCTAGTCCCTTTCAGTGCTGAGGAATTACACTCACCCCAATTACTTCTATCTGATAACAGTATGCTATCATCTTACATAGAAATATGATGTCTGTAGGTTACATTGCTGGGAATCACTGTCCCTTTAGTAGGGCACTATATTTCCCACAGAGGAAATGGGAGGCATGTGTCCTTTTATAATGCAATGGAATTGAGTGCTACTACTCTAGCTGGTACCTTAAGCTGTCCTGCTTTAAGACACCATGAAGAATAGACCAACACTTGCCCTTTTCAATTGTTTTTTTCTATTGATATCTGAAATGAAATAATCAAAAAAGAAAAGGCCTTGTCTAATGACACCAAAGAAAAATCATTAGAGCTCAAGACAGAGTTCCTTAGAGAAGTGATGTTTCAAGGTAGTATCTTATGGTTACACCTGAATTAACTAATATATTTGAAGTAATTGGTGATTCCAGTTAGCATATTCTTAAATTAATATACAATTAGCCCTAATTTTTTATTTATCTTGAAGACGAAATGTATCTAGTATGCATGCATTATTACTTTCTTGGCTGAATGGTAAGTAGAATTTCATCCTTGATGAATGGATGAGGGGCTACATGGTCATGAATCAGCTTTCTGAACAACAGTGACTGTTCTATAAAAGGCTACAGAAAGAGAGGGTAAGGTGCATAACACTGCCTAAAATCATAGAAGTATAGGTCACTCTCGAGAGGATGGAACTTAGAAATAATCTGTGCAAACAGTTTATTTCTCTATACGTTTTTACTTTTCTGAATAAATTATCCATTAAGAGGAGTGAAATCTAGTTATCTGGTTTTTGTTTCATAATGTTTTAACTGTGAAATATTTCCATTTGAAAAAATCACCGTCATGTATCCTTTCCAGTAATTACTCAGTTGTCTTTAAAGTATTTATCCATATGTTTTTAAAATGCAGGTCCAGGCATCCCAGTGGTCAGTCTTCATAGCACAAACAACCCAGCAAGTAAGTACAGCAATACAGAATAGCCATGGCTAGCATTGGTCTTGGTATTATATTATTTATTCTGAGTGTCCTGCTCTATAAAAGCTTCTTCAGAGGAGTCCCCAGCATGGGGAAAGCTTTTAAGATACCGTCAACTTGACCTGTGTATCTAAGAGAAACAGTTAAGCAAGAGATTTGAGACAAATTTCAACTGAAGTTGTATATATGCCTGAAACAGGATGTCTACTGTATCTAAACTGAATGAAGAGTGATTCATGAGGCTCATTTAGGTACATTTCAGCCTGCTGACCCCTCAGTGCTCTGGTTCATTCTTTTCTGGGTCTCATGTATATTATTGTCTCAGAGTAACACATCTTTCTTACTGTAGGGAAAATTATGAAAAACATACCATTTTTATATATTTTCTATCTTATTTGCTTCAGATATCCAGGACTTTCTTGTTCTGTATAGTCATTTATTTTTTTATGTGTTCATTCAACCAACATCATCTATTGAATGGGCATTTATTTTATCAAGCAATATGGCAAAGGCGGTGTGTACATGGCTCTTCAGGCACCCGCAGTGTTTTTAAGAACTTATAGTAGAGTGCATGAACAAATAAATGGCCAAGCTAATCTTACACATGAATAGCCAGATTGTTTCCTGCTTTCATTTCTTTTTCCATCCTACCACCTTTTGCTTTTTTCAGTTTTAATCAATCAATACTCCTATGCTCTAATGATTTACCATACTAATAAGTCCTCAGAATAGTTAATAATACTGTTTTTTTGAGATAGTTAATTTTATATTATCCTCATTTACAGATTAGGAAATGGAGTCACAGGGAGGTTAAATAGCTTGGCTAGAGTCATACTAATAGGTGGCAGAGCCAGGAATCAAATAAGAGTGTAACTCCAGAACAGAGTTTATAATCACACCATATGAAGGCTCCTTATTCTGCTGGGTTTTTGTTCCTCACATCACCTGGATTTAAGCAAGAGTTTTAGATGCCTTGACTTAGAGGAGTTGCAAACATAAAAGTATAATATTGAATGAGAAATGTCACTTTAGCAAACAAAGAAAGACCTTTTGTACTCTTCAAATACCACCATATGGAAAATTCCTGCCTGTTTTAGAAAAATACAAAATTTCTAAATTTGTAATGCAGTTTTGTGTGGTTGGAAATAGGTTAGCACATCTTTTAGTTTCTGTCAGTATATATCTTAAAGAGTGTATAGTAAGTGAATTAAATTTGTTCAGGATTAACACTAGCAGCAATAATAATGAAGACTGTATATGATAAAATAGACAGAAGGTTGAATGCCATAGAAAGAAAAATCAGTGTATAAAATGAGTCTCACATACCTTTTTTGGGATCTGAGATGATATCTCATAGGACCAGTTCCCTTATAGGCAAATCAGCAAATGAATTTTATGTGAGGCTGAGATATATTCACAACAGAGCATGCACTTGATAAATATTTGCACTTGGCAAATATTTGTGTTACATTTTGCCAAATTGATGGTTTTTTAAAAATTCCCAATCTGATTTTAATGAAATTTATTGCATTGTTACAAGGCAATATTGTTTTCTAATAATGTGCCTTGCAAATCATGAAACATTTTTGTTTAAGGGAAATATTTCTCATTTTCCCATTTTAAACCAATTCTGATCATCACAGGGCCAAGAAAAACAAAAAGGAGCCATGAACAGTAGTCAGATGCTTTATTTTCTTTCCAAAAGACAATTATTGCTTGAGATAAAATTTACAGTCAATTGGAAGTCAATCTTTGTGTTATTGAATCTTTGGGTTAATCTTTGTTATACTAATGAATCAGTCATAACTAATTTTGGGGCCATGTGAAGTAGAATAGGGCATGAAAAGAAAATTGAAAAAAATGAAGATATTTAACAAACATGGAAAATCTTTAAACCCACTAGTTATCAGAGAAATTCAAAGTAAAACACTGCCTTGTAATTGTTTCTAATAAATTAATAATATAAAAAAATTACTGTTAGTGAGGAAATAATGACACTCATAACTTGCTTGTAGAAATATGAATTATAGCAAATATTTTAGAAAAATAATTCAATCATAAGCCTTAAATCTTTAATAGCTATTTACCTAGTGTTTTTATTTTAATGGTATATACTAAGAAAATAATTCTAAATAGAGAAAATTATAAAGGTTCGTTAATGATAGTGAGAAAGACATAATACAAATAACAAAAATGGAATTTTCAAGTAAACTTTAATGGAATACTAATTAGTGCCCTGATTGTGTCCCCCTTGTCATCACAGAGTTACCCTTAATTCTGTTTTCCTTTACCATGGTCTCTGCCCAAGAAGTACTTTGTATAGGTGACTTATTTTCTGTTGCTATTTGTTTGTCAATGGATTCAGCTAAAGTGAATCCTGGAAGTGACTGAAGAGAGAAAAGTCACTTTGGAGTACCTGGTCCTCCAGCTCTATCTGTGTGGACCCCGCTTACCTCCTGTCTCCTCCTCTCACTTTGCTATGACTCTTGGCTGAAATTGACTGTGAATTTCTCACAACCATCTCCAAGTAATTGCTCTCTACCTTTGACCTGCAGGTCTAGCCACTGAGTTACACTTTTTTGCCTGCATCTCCGAAGTTACTCTACCATTCCTTATCATCTCCCTGCTCATTGTCCATAAATTTGTATGTAATATGTCCTTTATTAAAATTTCATCCAATTATTCTAATAAAGTTTCCAATATTGCCATCAGTTTCCCACTAGGATTAAAAATAAAAATATGTTTACAAAAGTTAATTCTTCAAAAATATTCAAGCAATATTTATAAGTAATTAATCTATCCAAATATTTATGCCTCTTAAAACTATTTGAAAATGCATATAAAAAATCAAGACAGTTCTCAATAAATATGAATCTACTGCTGTTTTGTTCATTCTGTTTTGCTTTGTTTTTATATTCCAAAAATAAGTGAAATTATATGGTATTTGTCTTTCTCACCTGGCTTGTTTCACTTGGCCTAATACCCTAGCTCCATCCATCTTGTTGCAAATGGCAAGTTACCATGGGGGATGAGTTTGGAGTGGGTAGGTGAAGAGGGTAAGGGGGATGAAGGGGCACAAAAATTCTCAATCATACTATAAATTGGTCACAGAAATAGTAATACAGCATGGAAAATACAGTCAGGGATTCTGTAACATCTTCCTATGTTGACAGATAGTACCTGCACTAGTCGGGGAGAGGATTTAATAATATGGGTAACTGTTGAACCACTTTGTTGTGTATTTGAAACCAATATAAGATTGTAGATCAATGATATTTCAATAAAATATAAATTTTAGAAAAAGTAAACTTAAAAAAATTCAAGACTACTTGAAAATGTTAAAACTCTTGTATTTGCCTGGCAGCCTGCCAGGTAATATTTTTTATCTTTCTTCTTGAGTATTTCCCAGTGCTCTACAATTAGCATATATTACTTTTACAAAGAAAAAGAAACCCTTCATTAAAATGCTCAGTGACTTCAGCAAGGTATAACTATGTAAAATTTTACTTAGTTAATATTTCAAAAGTCCTTTCTCTCATATTATTATCTCCTTTCCTCTTTTTATATGTTCATCTTTTTCCTTCTTAGTTTTGAGTATATGATTTTTTTTTACTTTAATTCTTTTCCTTTCCTTTCTTCTTCATTTTATCCATTCCATGACTTTCTTCTCTTTATACTTCTACTTTCCTATCTCTTCCTTTTCTTCCTTCCCAATTTTCTATTGTCATTTTCAGCTCTTTTCCTCCACAATAACATTTAAAAATCATGTCTCAAAACTTTCTTCTCTTCACAATGTGTCAAAAAAATTGGTGCATTAAACATATTTTCTGAATTTACCATGAAAAAATGATGTCTTCTCTAAATATTGTAAGAATGGCTTTGGCGTTTTCTATTATTTGTTTTTCTTAAATAGACTTTATTTCCCTGTGACCGTGGATTGATTTTTTTTGCCACAAATGGCTTTTGTTTTAGAAGTAACGTTTTTCAGTACTCATGTAATTAGTTTACATGTAATTAGGCTTGAATTTTTCCAATTTATATTTGATGATAAAAAGAAACCATGAGAGATTAATATATTACTCTTGCACTGGTGACTCTAGCTGTATCTATTCATTTAGCCAATTAATCATCTTAATGCAGTGAACTATTGTTCATTTATGAAAATCTTCTGTAATTAGAGATATAAAGGTAAAAATTTTACAGGCTTTATTCTTCAAAATATTTTCCCTTTTGTAATTAGCAAATATCGAATGATTTTTGGCTTTGTCCAGTACAAAATGAATGCTTTTATACACAATTAAGTTCAGTAAGTACATTTTTATGACATTTCTTAAATTATAAATGCTGAAAGCTTGAGGAAAGTATAAAGAATTTAAGCATTCACATTATAAATTTTATATTTGAGTATTTGGGATAGCTTCCTTGAAAATATACTATTATTTAATCTGAAATGTCTTATATTTTGAGGATAAAAGAAATCTCTGAGAATATCTAAGAATATCTAATTTCCCACATATGTATTATAGAAGATGACATTTATTTACAGAAGAGGTAGTTTGGTGCACCTGAAATCACATATAGAATTTACATTCCAGTGAAGGAAACAGAAAATTAAGTGGTTATAATGGGATGCGATAATTTGTTCAACATAGCTGAAGCAAAACGTTTAAGAAAAAAAGTAGAGATATAGGCTCCAGGGACTGGCTGGAGTGAGATCAAAGAAGTCTTATGTTTCATTCTAAGGAGTTTAGATTTAACAATAAATTATCAGTAATAACCCATTTATTAAAAAAATATTCTTATTCTGGTCATGGAGTAGATATGCATGGCCTTTTGCCAAAAAGAAAGAGGGAGAAAGAAATAAAATAGAGGAGAAGGAAAAAAAAAGAAAACTGGATAACATTTATGAAATAACAATTTCCAAGCATGGAATAACAGTCAGGATAGGTATCTGGTCCATGAAAGAAAGAAAACAAGTGAGATTAATGTTGTATTGCCCTCACTTTCTGGCTGAAATCATTTTATCTATTCTACTTCGCTGAGGAACAATTCAAGAAGAGTAAAATAGTATCTCAGAGTCAGAATGGAGGCATCAATTAGAGTTCAGAAAGGTTGAACCCTTTGGAATGTTGGAATTATGGAGAGATATGGAGGAGAAACCCCTGATAAATCTGCATAGGGCTACAAGGGATCATCCTGAGTTGCTGAAAATACCTAGCTAAGTATGCCTAGGAAGACACTCTGTAAGCCTGGGAAAGGCCAGTTCACACAGAGCAGGGATGGGGTGAAGTTCCAACCAGGCAGAATACTGGAGTGTTTGGCAGAGATCCCACAAGAGCCATGCCTTAGAAGTACAGTTGAACTAGCCAAAAGGCAAAGCCATGGACACCCACCCTAAATAAGAATTTCTAAAATCCTTGAAATGATTAAGCTGACCTGCAATTTGCTTAAACACCTGCTAGAACAAAGTCCAGCAATTTTTAAAAGAACAGAACAAAACCCAGTACTCAAAAATGTGAATATGACAGTGGTCAAAATCTAATAGAAGATCATTGGCTATATGAAGTAATTAGAAAATGTGACTCAACTAGGAAAAAAAACAGTGAATAGAGACAGACACAGAAATGACATTGGTAATGGAACCCACTGACAAATACAATGTATCAACCATTATAACTGTGCTAAAAAATCAAGAAAAAATGAATATAATGAGAAAATAAATAGTATTTATTTTAAAAAGGAACTTTATGAACTTAAAATATCTGAAATAAAAATTTCACTGGAAAACACTAAAAGCAAATTAAACACTGCAGAAGAAAAGATCAGTGAAACTGATCATTATCAACAGGAACTCAGAGACTCAGAGAGAAAAAGAATGAAAGAAAAGAGCAGAGCCTAAGTTAACTTAGGCCAATGTCTGTATCTATAATATTTTAACTGGAGTCAGAAAGGGGCAGCAAGGAAAAATATTTGGTGAAATAATAGCCAAATCCAAATCTGATGCAAAATACAAAACTGCTCAGCAAACTTCAAGCAGTTTAAATACTATAGAAAGACAATGATAAAGAAAACACACACACTCTCACACACATTTCATTCACACATTACATGCATATTAACAAAGCCAAGAATTTGGCTATAATAGCAAAGCCAAGCACATTTCTTATCAGTAGAAAAAAAAGACATTAGAGCAAAATCTTTAAAATGTGGATGCAAAACAAAACCCTTAACCTAGAATAACAAAGTTAAAAAATACCTTTCAAAAGTGAAGCCAAAATAATCAAGAAAAAAAGAAGCTGAGAATGTTTTGCCATCAGACTTTAAATTCTCAATAACACATAGATGAAAGAAGAATTTAGAAAAATAATTAGGAAATATTTTGAGCCAAATGATAATGAAAACACACTGATTCAAATTTGGAGATACCCAACTTTGATTAAAAAGAAGTTTATGTCTCTCAGTTCTTACCTTATAAAAAAAAGGAAAACTTTAAAAGAATCATCTAGACTTTTACTTTAAGAAAGTAGAAAAAGGAGAGCAAATAACACAAATTAAGTTAAAGGAAATGAAATAATAAGGATCAAAGTGGAAATAAAGATTCAGAAATTGGATTAGCAGCAGAGAAAAATATATAAAAACCAAGATATTTTTCTTTTAAAAGATGAATAAAATTAATAGAATTCTAGACAAATTCATGAAAAAGATGTATACTCTTATCACCATTTTCATTAATTTAAGAGATCATGTTAATAACAGATCCCAGAGCCTTTAGAAAAATAATAATGGATATTATAATTTTATGGGAGTAAACTTGACATTGTAGGTGAAATGAGTAAATTCCTTAAAAGACATAAATTCATAATTTTCTACACATTCAAGCAAGATTGTCTAACATCATGGCCAGAGCCACACAATAATCTTTTGCAATTAGAGATATAAAATGTCAGGATATAAAAATAACTGAGAAATTGTGTTGAATGAATCCTTAGCATGTTTTAATGTATTGTATATTAACATACTGGCATATCATAATTATAATTAAAATTTTAGTAATGAAATTTCTAAAAGAAAACCACCCAAACAGGAAGAAATACAGTATATACATTTCCCAGTATCTAATAAAAATTTAATTTGCATTTGGCATTCTTCCCATAAAGAAAACTCCAGTTCAATTAGCTTCTGGTACATTCTGTGCAATATTTAATATTTTAATAATAAGCTTATATAAACTCTCAGAAAAGGCCAGCATTAGCTAGATTCCAAATCCAACACAGACATTACAGGGATAGAAAAATAATTTTTTTCATAACTAGATGCACAATTCCTTAACTAAATACTAGTCAGTTAAATCTAGCAATTATAAAAGCAAAATATATTATGACTCTGTGGGGTTTACCCAAGGAATCCATGAATACCATACATTCAAGAATCTATCAATGTAATTACTATATTATACTGTCAACTCCAAAGAATTTAGACAAAAGCATTTGGTAAATTTGAAAAACAATGAACTAGTAATAATAACAGCAAGAATAGAAAGGAAATTCCTTCACTTGATGAATGGTATCTATAAAAATACTACAACTGACATCATATTTAGTGTTGAAAGACTGAGTGCTTGTCCTCCAAGATTGGGAAAAACAGAATTTCTGCTCTCACACCATCTGTGCAACACTGTGTTATACTTAACTGGTGAAATGAGGAAAGAAAAATAAATATGAGTAGAAAATCTATGTTCATTTGTGGAAGACATGTAACAAAACAGAACAAATAATCAAACAAACAAAAAATATGGAACCTATATTCACTCATAAAACTACTAGAAATGATGAGTGAACTTATCATGGTTACAGATGTGGGGCAATTTTCAAATATTAACTATTTTATAAACCACAGTGCAATGCAAAATTAAAGAGTAGTTCAAAATACTATCTAAAATAACATCAGAAATCATACAATATCCAATAATAAGTCTAAGTCCTCTAAGATGTAAGCAAACATTGCTGGGAGAAATTAAAATTCAAATACATGCACACACATACATATTTGAGGATTAGAAGGTTCACTATGTTTTGTATATAAAAGCTCCCCAAATTCTAGCAAGTTTCTGGTCCTCCATGCTTTGTTAATTTTTTATCCTTTTTATTTTTATTTTCATTGTTTATATTGTCTGTGGCTATAATGTCAAATTCATTAAACTGATCTTCTGCAGTATCTAATATGCTATTAATCACACCAAGTATATTTTCATTTTAGACCTTACAGTTTTCATGTATCTGAAATTTTGCAGTTTTTAGTTTTAGAATTTTAACTTTTCTTAAAATTTCTTTCATATTTCTCCAAAATACCCTCATGCTTTTCTTTTTTTACCTTAATAGATACATGGAATATAACTATAATCTCTGTTCTAACATGACTGTCTATCCATTATATTATCTGGGTTACTTCTGGGTTATTTGATTAAATTTTGTACTCGGGTGATCTTTTTCTGATTTTTTTGCATGCCTGCTAACGGTGTATTGGAACATAGGTACTGTAAATTTCATCCCATTGTATGCTAGATAATTTTGTATTAAATATTCTTAGGCAGAGTGGTAACATGATCACGTTAACACTTTGAAAATATAAATGCTTATTTTGAGTTGAGGGGCAACTAGAGTAAGGAAGCTCAGAAAGCTATTGTAATAATCCAGGGGAGAAATTATGAGAATTTAATCAGTGCCTAGCTGAGTGCCTGCCAAATAGGAACAGCTGGAGAATTATTTGTTGTGTTGCACTTATTCTTGATCAACACATAGCAGTTAATTATTTACACTACCCTTCTTGATTTAAAGATTATTTTATATTGGAAAACAATTCTGTGCTGAAGGAAGCAATCCTGAAGAAGAAGACAGTAAAGTCAGAAATCAAAATGCTTCATATTGATGACTACGGTAAAATTTTGCTCGTGCTATGTCACTTAAGAAAAATTTTATCTTCATCTTATAGTTTTACATGTAAATGACTCCCCATCTTTAATATTTTGCTCTTTCTTTAAAGAACTTCCTTTACAGTTGTCCTTTCCAAAAGATTTTACGGACCGAAACCAGTATGCCCTTCTGTTAATAATGTAAGTATTTTATTTTACTTTGAAATAAAATAACCTAAATATTTTACAATTTTTGTTATGCTTCACATGATAGCATTCTGATTAAGAGACAACAGAAGTCCTATGTGTGTAATTAATCAGGGCAGCTGTGAGTTGTGAGTCCCTCAAGGACACCACCATTAAATTAGATAGACAAATGTGTAACTTTTTTGTACCTCTTGCATCCCCATTGACCTCACTGTTACTACTAGGAATAGTGACACATATAACTTGGTTAATGAATGTCTGTTTGCCACTCAAGCCCTATGTACTCTCTCTATTTTTTTTTTAATCATACTGATCTGTAATTTTCTTTCTTTGGGATATATTTGTCATATCAAAGTTATGCTAGATTCATAAAAGCAATTTTTTTTTATTGTGGTAAGAACACTTTACATGAAACCACTTTAAAATTTTTAAGTACACAGTCCAGTATTGTTAACTATAAGCACAGTCCGTGCAGCAGAGCTCTAGAACTTACTCATCTTGCATGGCTGAAACTTTATACCCATTGAACAGCAAATGCCCATCTCCACCTCCCTGTGGCCCCTGGCAACCTCCATTCTGCTCTCTGCTTCTGTGAACATGTCTGTTTTAGATGCCTTATATAAGTGGAACCATGCAGGTATCCTTCTGTGACTGATTTATTTCACTTAGACAATGCCCTTAGGGTATATCCACCTTGTCTCATGTCAGCCTTATGCTCTTTCTTAATTGTTTATGCAACATTGAGGAAACATTTCCATTACTGACACAATTGTCGCTATTAAATCACTCCTATCAATTTTCCCACCAGCAGGAAGCAGCTCTCATGAGCTACACATTGTGACTGCATAGTATTGCACACAGAAGCCCCTACTATCTATTGGCTAACTAACTTGATATTGATAGCATTCTATTCCAGAGTTAAGAGTTATTTTCCTTATTTGGTACCCAGCCAGCATATTTGGTATAATAGTACTTAAAAATATCTGGAATTATATCAGAACTTTGGTAGAAACAGTAGAAATTAAAATAGCTTTATTTGCTGTGGTTACTGAATGTAGAAGATGAGCATTCAGTCTGTGGAATCAAACTGCCTGGCTTCCGATTCCAGTTTTGTTATTTACTATCTGTGTGTCCTTGAGCAAGTTATTTAATTTCTTGAAAGGCTTAGTTTATCCAAATATAAAAACAGAATTACAATACAACCTATGTTTTAAAACTCCTTCTTAGATTATATGAAATTCAACAAAAGACCTGCCTGACAGATATGATTCTTATAATTATCATAAGTATAACTGGTTATTTTTTATATCAAGTGCATTGATTTTCTCTATTTTAGTAAATAGAATCAATGTGCTACTTCATTATAACAAGCTAAATAATACAGAAAATATAATACTTAATATTTTCCCCCACTCCAGTGTTTATTCCTAACTCGAATGCCTAGACCTCTCTTGGTTTCTCCAGTCCAGATGGCTTTCTCTGTCCCTAATCAGAGAAGGCACTGGAGTTCTTGGTGTCTTCCTGAGGAAGTTTGTCTTTGCTCTTGTATCTTAACTCTTTCTTTTGTCTCTTCTCTTTCAACTGCATGTTTTCAATTCCTTTTTGAACTGCATGTGTGATTGATGGGAAATATTTAACACATTTAAATGGTACAAAAAAGAAAAAAATTCTCAACCTCATCTTCGGTCTCCATCATGCCTCTTTTTGGAAAAAGGAATTGTTCGTATTCGCTGGAAAATCAGGCTTCTCAGGGAAAGGAGCCCTCCTAGGCATCCTTCCTTAAAGCAGGACTCACGCAGGAAGGTGGATATGCAGATAATTATTCTCACTGGCATATACCCTGGCTCGAAAATAGTGTCACACCTCGGGGGAGAAAGTAGACAAGAGTTGAAGATTCTCTCTGTAGCCTTGAGTCTGAGAAGCCCACCGGCTCATCCTGGCATCAAACTTGTGCTGTAGTCAGGTGATTTCTAGCCCTTCAGAGGAATGTAAGGGCTAGCACAAGAACAGCTTCTCTTGTGAGAAAGCAGTAATCAGGGCTTTTGTAGGGGCAGGAAAGTTCTGGCTTTGGAGGCTGAAGGGCCTGAGCTCAGCTTTCCGTTCAAAGATTTACCAAGACTGTTTAATTTTTCTAAGCTTCTGCTTCCTTATAAATAAATTGGAGATTGGGATAATTTATATAAACATGTCACCTTAGTGTAGAGCATAAACATTTGCACTTAGTGTTTAATAAACTGTAACCATAAACAGTTATTATTAGTAGGAATAGTATTTTTAATATTTAAAATTATCAATATAGATACGTAACATGTAATTTAGTACCCATAAATTATTAGATATTTGTTACTAAAGCAGATAAAATAATGTATTCAGGTCCATAGATTTTACTTTGCTATTGTTTTGGTTGATGAAGGAAAGAATAAAACTACTAATTCATTAGTTTTTATTAGTTTGTAATATACTGATCATACTAATATTAATTTACTATATCCAAACTCCTTGGGATCTAGAGGTAAACTCTCAGAAATTTTGTAGAATATGACTTATAGAACCAAACTGAGGATTTTTCCTTTGTCAATTTTATGTTTATAAAAGGATCTATTGTTCTAAGTTGCATGATCATTCCTAAAATACTTCTGCTTGTAAACAAACATGGATTAGATGGCTTAAATATAAAGTATTTTTAAGTGTTTCTTTAGATTGCTTATAATTTAAAAGCTTATTTTTTTCTTAAGAATAAATCCTATTTTCAATGACGAGTGGACTTCCCACTTTAAAAAAGAAAACAATAGGTTTTTTTTCCCTAAATGGGCACTTAGACTGTAAAAAATAATAAATAAAATGACTATTATATAAATGAGGCTAAGAGATGATTTAGTGATTTTGGTGTCACTACTTTATTGCTATTCTGTGCAGTGTATCTAGTACCCGGCAGAATGTAAGTCATTTCATCCCCTACATAGAGGGGTTTGCACTCCAGGAAGTTCTATGATGAATGTGTGAGGTGAAGACAGGCTACAGCAAATACCCAAGTAGCTGGAAGGAAGACTGACATTGAGGAAAGTAGCCTCTGGCAATTTGGAATTCCCATTCCGCCAAATCTTCTGTATGGAACCTCAGAGGAAATGGTCTTCTGAGGACCACTTTTTGGCACTATTTTCTGAAACCCAAACCTAATTTCATGATATTGAAAGTACAGGTGAATTAATGGTGACAGAATATTTTACTGTAATGGAAAATCCATGAAACATTGCCACTACAAGATGTATCTCAGTTGCCTTGATTTACAGTGGTCTCTATAGGGTCATGACCCTCTTTTCCTTTCATACTCCTCTTATCCTCTTCCCAGATACCTAATTGCCTTTCTCTTTAGCATTAGAGGGAGTCCTTAAGAACCCAGTAGTCTATATTCATCTTTATCCCTGTACTATCTACATCTCTATCCATTTCAGCACTTAAACTTTGAATTGTTTTTATGTTATTCTTATTTTCTACTACTGTACTTGTAATTTCATATAATGCACATTTACCATGTTGTTTTTCTGTGCAGCATGCTGTGCTAATGGCCATGGGGAGATAAAAAGATTATAAGCACCTTAAAATCTGAAATCTCCTCTTGGATTTGTGAAGTGTATCTCCATAATGCCTCACACACCGAGAGGCACCTTATGAAAAGTTATGGACTAAACTGTAATTCTTTCAGTCTGCTATACTGAAGATTATGTGGGAGCTATCCTACAGTTATAGATGTTTATTTGATAAATAAATAAATATGAATCTTGATTCCTAGACCCTGGGAGGAAGCAATCCAGACAGGTGTGCTGGTTATTAGAGATGAGAGGGTTTTGTTTGTTTGCTGCATCCACGAAGAAAAGCAATATCAAACTGGGGAATTTCTCTTAGTGCCAAGAGATTCCATTTCTTCCCATTCGCTACTCTTTCATGTTCAGTTTATCCATGCTGCACATGAAAAAAGTCTAACTCAGGCAGACAGAGACTATTTAACACATGACATTAATTTCCAGGAAGCACCGTACTCTATTGGGCCCCTGTAACTTCATCCCCTCTCCCTGAATTTATCTTCCTTGAAATCCTAGTGAGTTCATGGTCATCCATCAAGTCTTATCTTCCTGAAACTTTCTTTTACTCTCCTCATCAGTCTATATGGATTCGGTGACAATCACAAATCCATGCCTCCTCCTACAGCTGCAGATTTCTGTCCAAAGGCTTTCCATATATCAAACAATATTGATCATATTATTGCTTTGCCTAATTTTTGTGAGGATGTTTTAATATGTCATTTAGGGAATTTCTGACTCCCACTAGATTTTGGACCAATATTTCTGAGGGAGAATCCACAGTTTAGAAATTAGTATTTAGAGAAACAGTTTACAGAATGGCTTTTGGGATATCTGAGTATCTTAAGAAAATGGAAATGTTAAAATCTTTATTTTATGCATTCCATATATTAAGCAGTGCCTGATTTATTTGCTTATACCTCATAGCAACAAGCTTTTGCAATAAGTCACTCTGCAAATATGTGTTGAGTGAATGACTGCATGATGTCTAGGTGAACATTGTTACTATTACAGTTTTCCTGCTAAACCATTCTAACTGGAAAGAAATAATCATTTTTATCTAGATATTTCCCTCACTCAATCAGTATTATGCATATCAGAGTCCTACAATTTTGGCCACTAGGATGGAAATGAACTGTTTGTTAGCTTTTCTGTATAATTATTCTATTAAATAGCAGGATATAATTAATTGATATATTCATAATGGGTGAAATTATCCAGCTACTCGTTTCCAACAATCATGATAACATCATTATTTTTTTAATACACATACTTCCCTTTCAACAAACAATATTGATGTTTAAAATTTTAAATAGCATCATGCTCAAGGGACCATAGTGTCTTGCCTTGATCTTTGAAACAGTGGTGTGGTCAGAAAGCCCACAAGCTTCTTCAGGTTCTATTCCAGGCAGACAT